AACGCTACACAGATCTGATCCCTCACGCAATTACAATGGACGATAACAGGAACTGAGCAGGAAGAGCAGATCATCTCTCACGCACTGCGGACTTTGGAGGGAATCTTTACAGAGACTTTTCTTGGATGCCATAGCACATGGGTAGGGAAACTAAGGCCCAGGGGCCAGATCTGGCCCAATCGCCTTCTAAATCCAGTCCGCGGATGGTCCGGGAATCAGGCTGTTTTCACATGAGTAGAATGTGTTCCTTTTATTTAAAAAGCACCTCTGGGTTATTTGTGGGGCCTGCCTGGTGTTTTTACATGAGTAGAATGTGTGCTTTTATTTAAAATGCATCTCTGGATTATTTGTGGGACATAGGAATTCGTTCATTTTCCCCCCTTCAAAATATCGTCCTGCCCCCCACAAGGTCTGAGGGACAGTGGACCGGCCCCTGCTGAAAAAGTTTGCTGACCCCTATAGCAAGTCCTGGTGAGCTATTTTTCTAGAAAAAGAGGTGTTGAAACTCCCCATGGATACCTCCCTTGTTCTCTTAGAATGACCGCTCCCCACATTAAATGGGGGGTGCCTTTCGCGTGGTCGCGCACAGCCCCCCCGGATCCTAGTGCGGCTCCCGGTAGTTCGGGCTGGCTTCACCCTCCCCAGGCCGGATACCTGGAGGTCTCCGCCCACCTCAGCCAATCGCCCAATCCCGTTGTCAGGGGATTGGCCAGGTAGGGGGAGGGACCGCCCTGGCCCCACAACAGAAGGTGAATCTTACCTGCAAAGTGCCAGTTGGCTCCAGAGCTTCTCCCACCCAGGTACGTGGGCGCTGCTACGTCATGGTCGCTGTTGAAGGGCCGGAAAGGAATTTTCCTGCTTTGGCAGGTTTTGCCTTTGCCGTGGCAAAACGTCACAACTTTAGCGGTTTCAGGCCTTGGGCGGAATCCTTTAGCCTATCTTCTTAAATGGGGGGGGGGTGAAGCGGTGACTCACGCCCCCCTTGCGGCGGTGATCCCAGGGTTCCCCGTTAAAGGGGTCTTGAGGGGAGGCATTGGCAGTACACCAAGAGGTTGTCATTGCTCTCCCCTGTGACGGCGGTGAAACAGGGGGTGGGCTCTCTGCTTGAAAATATGTTCTCCAGAGCCAGCCCAATCCCCACACATTCTGGGGTCTCCTGGCTGGGGACTGGGAAGGATAAACGCCCAATGCCTGAGCCAAGGTCTCCCTACACCTGAAACTTAATAAAGTAAAGGTAAAGGGACCACTGACCATTAGGTCCAGTCGTAGCCGACTCTGGGATTGTGGCGCTCATCTCGCTTTACTGGCCGAGGGAGCCGGCGTGCAGCTTCCAGGTCATGTGGCCAGCATGACTAAACCGCTTCTGGCGAACCAGAGCAGCGCATGGAAACACTGTTTACCTTCCTGCCGGAGCAGTACCTATTTATCTACTTGCAATTTGGCATGCTTTTGAACTGCTAGGTTGGCAGGAGCTGGGACTGAGCAACGGGAGCTCACCCTCGTGCGGGATTCAACCCGCCACCTTCTGATTGGCAAGTCCTAGGCTCTGTGGGTTAACCCACAGCACCACCCGCATCCCGAAACTTAATAAAGTTGTGGCCAATTTTAATCCCATAGCACGTTGACTTGAGTCATTATTCCACTCGGGGGTCGCCTGGGGTTGGGGGGACTCTGCCTGTCCACGCAAGAGAGGTGCCGGAGTCTGGAAAAAAGGCCCTGATGGTGAGAGGGACCATAAGTTCTGATGCGGCGTCAGGCAGCTTCTAATAACTGCAAAGCATAAAAACAGGAAGAGATGGCCAGGCCTGGAAGACGGTAGGCTAATCCGCAGCTATGCTAAGAATGTGGATGTGGTCTGGAGGAGCTGCAGAAAACATTGCTGATATTTGGAAGACTTTGGAAGGGGCCAGGAAGATGGCGCGAAGAAGAGGGATCGCTTCTGGCTTCTACTTCACTACTGTATGGTTAGAGAACTAAATCTGAGCCAAGTCTGCTTACCTAGTTTTGACCTCATTTTCCTGAGTGCCAAGACACCTCCTGATTTCAGGGCTCTGTTGTCACTGAATGAACATATATTTAAACTGCTTCTAATGTCTCCCTTGTTACGCCCACCATGAGCCGAGCCTGTGCTTTTTCTTTCTGCTTTCTCTAGCCCTTTTCTCACAGAAAGTGAGTGCAAGGCGGGGAGCTGTGCTTTTAGCTTCAGCCCCGTCCTCACACTGGTAGCACCGGCTATGGCAGGAGTTCAGCTGCAACCTCTGCAAAAGGGACTTTCCTCTTTTCATTGGAGCCCAGCATGCAATTTCGAACCTCGGTTCAGGTTCTAAATCACTCAGCGAGCTTCCCGGCCACAACAGCAGCTTATAAGTGGATCAGACCAGAGTGATCAAGTCTCTTCTCCTCCAAGCGCCTGCCCAAGAAAGGTGTGTCTTCAAACAGGCTACTAAAATTATACAGAGATGGGGACCTCACTGGGGAGACAGGGACCTGCCCTGGAAGAAGCACTTTTCTAGGCTGCCACACCAGGTGGCCCTCATCTACTGCATGGAGAGGTCAATATGGAAGAAGATGTTCCTGGAGATATTTGGGTCCCAAGCCATTTAAGCTTTAAACAATCAAGTAAGCACCTTGAATCCTACCTAAGAAACAACTGGAAACCCATGCAGCTGTTTTTATGTGATAGGTAACAGGGACGCGGGTGGTGCTGTGGGTTAAACCACAGAGCCTAGGGCTTGCCAATCAAAAGGTCGGCGGTTTGAATCCCCATGCAGGGGTGAGCTGCTGTTGCTCGGTTCCTGCTCCTGCCAACCTAGCAGTTTGAAAGCACGTCAGAGTGCAAGTAGATAAATAGGTACCACTCTGGTGGGAAGGTAAACAGCATTACCATGCGCTGCTCTGGTTCTCCAGAAGCGGCTTAGTCATGCTGGCCACATGACCGGAAGCTGTACGCTGGCTCCCTTGGCCAATAAAGCGAGATGAGCGCCACAACCCCAGAGTCGGCTATGACTGGACCTAATGGTCAGGGGTCCCTTTACCTTTACGTTTAATATGTTCACAGTCTGCTGCCCCACCAGCATTCTTCCTGGAGAACCTGGAAAAAGTAGGTGATGGGAAAGACCTCTGCCTGCTCCGAGGTCTTGGCAAAGTCACTGCCAGTCACACCAGACAACTCTAAACTAGGTGAGCCAAGTGTCTGATTCTGTATAAGGCGGCTTCCTATAATTGTGCAAAAGAAGCAGAGGAGGAATGGGCAGGGTGTGTGTGTGTGTGTGCTAAAAAAATTTGTTTTAAACACAGGAAGCAATAGAAAGAGAAAGTAGAGAGGCCTCCTTTTCATCCAGTTATTTTAGCTGAGTGACTCCACATTCAAACCACAATGCAAAGGAACGGAAGCTGAGCACACCTGGTTCCTTCTTGCACCCCCAGCCTGGGGGCACATTGCCAACCAGATGCAAATATATAACACAGCCCAAAACACCAAAAGACTCAGAGAAAAGGAATAGAAAAGGACTGGAACGCAGAACTGATGGTTGTTGTTGTTTGTAATCAGTTAATTACCAGCTTGCAGGACTTGCAGATATGGCCCAAATCAACACCTCGTCCTTCTTATCTAGACCATTGTGAAAGTGACAGGGCAGGGATGGGAAACCTTAGGGCTGGGGGATGGCAAATGTGGTCCTCCAGACCTCTTAAGTCACATCCGTTTCCCAGTCATTTTCCTTATCGGTTTTGATTGTTTTGAGCATTTTTGCCAGGTTGGAATGTGCCTCTGGACTCATGCAGGGAAGTAAATTGAAATATCAGAGAGGAGACCCTAGCTTACTGCAAAGGTTGGGTGGTTATCTGTCATGGATGCTTTAGTTGAGATTCCTGCATATTGCATACCCTCCAACATTTCTCCAATGAAAATAGGGATGTCCAATTCCATAATGATAATTTTACTATTTATACCCCACATAGCTTACTGGGTTTCCCCAGCCACTCTGAGTGGCTTCCACCATATAAAAAAATAATAATAAAACATTAAACATTATTTTTTTTAGAAAAAACAACCCTTCCCTATACAGGATTGCCTTCAGACAGATTGAGGGTCAGATAACTCCATACCCTCCAACATTTTTCCAATGAAAATAGGGATGTCCTAAGGAAAAGCGGGAGATTCAGGGATGAAATAAGAAACTGAGACGGCTTCTCTAAATCAAGGATAGCTCTGGAAAATAGGGACACTTGGAGGGTCTGGCATTGCAGGGGTTTGGACTAGATGACCCTTGGGGTAGCAGCAGTAGTAATAAAAATAAATAAGAATAATTTATTATTTACACCCTGCCCATCTGGCTGGGTTTCCCTGGCCTTCTGGGCAGCCCCCAACAGAAGATTAAAAACACAATAAAACATCAAACACTAAAAACTTCCCTAAACAGGGCTGCATTCAGATGTCTTCTAAAAGTCAGGTAGTTGTTTATTTCCTTGACATCTGATGGGAGGGCGTTCCACAGGGCGGGTGCCACTACTGAGAAGGCCCTCTACCTGGTTCCCTGTAACCTCACTTCTCGCAGCGAGGGAACTGCCAGAAGGCCCTCGGAGCTGGACCTCAGCATCTGGGCTGAATGATGGGGGTGGAGACGCTCCTTCAGGTATACTGGACCGAAGCCATTTAGGGCTTTAAAGGTCAGCACCAACACTTTGAATTGTGCTTGGAAACATACTGGGAGCCAATGTAGGTCTTTCAGGACCGGTGTTATATGGTCTCGGCGGCCACTCCAACCTTCCAACTCTATGATTCTATAATTCTATGAAAGGTATGTTTTGAGAGAGAGAACAGTTTTGAAAGTGATTTTTTTTAAAGAAAAATGAAGATTAAATGAGAAATGGAAAGGAATGGATTTATGGGAGTATTTATGTATCATCATTGTCAACAGCAGCAATGATCATGGACAGAAAATAAGAATGAACTGTGCATCCCTAGATCCATGAAAACAGAACTCTGTCCATGCTCTTACCTGCTCAGGGAGGAGGTGTCTGGAACATGGTACATGAAGACTTGCCCTCTGCCATTTCCAGCCCAGTGACGAGCCATGTCTATTGTGGGGCAAATGATGAACTGGTCCCTGAGAAATGGCAAAAGAAAACGATGCTATGGTCAAGAAACAATGGCCAAATGACAACAAGGTGCAACGAAGGTGCCTCAAATAGGGAAAGGAAGGAGATATGTACAGAGAGACCTCATAACAGTGGACCAAGTGAACAATACAAGGACTAAGCAGAGCTGCTGAAACTTGCAAAACTTCTTTTTATCCCATTATTCAAAAACAACAAATAATTAAACAAATAAACTTGCGCAAATCTTATACAATCAAATAACTGCTTTTTTGTTTTGCTGAAACAAATCTGTTTATATAAAAAGAGCGCCGCCAAAAAAGGAGGGAGGGGGGAACAATTAGGAAAAAGCTATTTTAAGTATCTTTCTCTTTGCTTTGGGACAGAGAGCCCAGCATGGGAGAAGGTTTAGACCAGTTGTTTATTATTATTATTATTATTATTTCCTTCAAATTTCCCCAGAGACACTTCCCACCCCTCCCCAAAAAATACATGATGGAAACCTGCGTTCCCATTCATACACCACAGGTGCACATCTGTAAAACACATTCTTAACGAAGTTAACGATCCGCAAGTTAGTATAAACCTTTGGAACTGGTCTCTGTTTCTTTTCTGGAGTATTTGTGAATGAAAACAAAGCTCCACTATTCTCCCGCAAAGGTGTCTCTGTGCTTTGTTCCACCTGCCGGTCTTAAATTGTGAGCCGCTTTCCCCCCCATAAGGGCAATACGCCATGCTCTCTTGCACCAAGAATCCAGCTGCATGCAGGCAAGCTCACCTGGGACTGCACAGCAAGAAGATTCATAATGGAGGGCCAGACTCCCTGGGCTTTAATTTTACCCACCACTATTGATCTTCCCTTGCAATCTTCCAGTTACAGGCGAATGCTTGTTTTGGTTTTAGGGTCTACTCATTGTACACATGGAAACTGGCAGGACTCAAAGGACTCATATTCTCTGCTCTTTTTAAAATGGAAAATCCTGGCATCTATCTATCTATCATCTATCTATCTATCCATCTATCTATTTATCTATGCATCCACCCACCCACCCACCTATCTACCTATCATCTATCTATATCTATCCATCTACCCATCCATCCATCATCTATCTATCCTTCACCAATCTATCTATATCTATATATCTATATCTATCATCTATCATCTATCTATCTATCTATCTATCTATCTATCTATCTATCTATCTATCTCTCTCTCTCTCTCTCTCTATCTCTATCTCTATCTCTATCTCTATCTATCAATCTATCCATCCATCCATCCGACCTTTCCATTCATTCAGCTCTTCAGAACAAGACCTATTGGTGCTTCCCTTGCTGAACGATGTTCACAGAGGTCATCTGTCTCTGCAAACCCCACTTCTGGCAGGGAGTTGCATATTCGTCCTCCCCACACATGACATCATGCATGATGGTGGGAGGTGGAAGAGACTTAGCCAGTTGGGGAGACCTATTTAGCCCTGTGGGTTCCCCATCCCTCCTCTACAGCAACCTTCCTTCCCTTTGGGTCCTAGGTGGACTATGACTCCCATCATCCCTGACCAAGGTGGATGGGGCTGGTGCGAGCAACATTTGGGGACCAAAGGTTGGGGAAGGTTGCTTCATGGTATGGTTCTTCCTTTGCCTTCCTTTGTAAAGCTGGGAGGGAGAACTCTGCTGTACAAACACAAGATATGTGTTCTTTCCTACACATTCCTGAGAAACAATCTGAGGCTTCCAAAATGCTCATTTAACAAAGACTGCAAAACCACAGGGTTGACTAACCACCTCATGATGTTAAGCAACAACAGGAAGCCATTCCAGTTTTTAACAAGTGATGCTCTTGTTCCTGGGAGACAGATGTTTTGAGCTACAACCCCCCTGGACATGCTGTCGGGGACTGATGGCAGTTTTAGTCTAAAACATCTGGAGGGCAACAGATTGCAAAAGGGTGGTGAAGACCATGAGGAGCTAGGCAGATGAATGGCCTTCCATGGCAGAAAGCACAGCTTCCTGCCATTTGGGGGAAGGCCATAACTCATCTCTGGCATCCACAGGTGGGACTAAGAAAGAATCCCATCTGAAATCCTGGTAAGTTCAGACCATACTGAGCTAAATGAATTAATGGTCTAACTCAGTTTAAGGCTGCTTCCTATATTGCACCGTGACATCTGATAGTAAGAAGTCTCTTGCATCACCATTCAAAGCATTGATGGATTTACTGGGCCTAGGCCAGGGGTCAGCAAACATTTTCAGCAGGGGGTCAGTCCACTGTCCCTCAGACCTTGTGGGGGGCTGAACTATATTTTGAAAAATATATGTGAATGAATTCCTATGCCCCACAAATAACCCAGAGATGCATTTTAAATAAAAGCACACATTCTACACATGTAAAAACACACTGATTCCCGGACCATCTGCGGGCCAGATTTAGAAGGCGATTGGGCCAGATCTGGCCCCCGGGCCTTAGTTTGCCTACCCATGGCCTAGGCCAAGCCAGGAGCCAATGGCTCATGAAGTTGCTGAAACAATTGTCCCTTGCCTGGTGAGACTCAGCCATAATTGCTACCTCTAAAGTCCCATGGTCTGGTCTGAAGGCACAGGAGGCCATCACCTTGCTGCTAATAAGCAGGTATGGGTCTGGTCAGCACCTGGATAGGAGATCACCTTGGAACCACATGAACACTGCCTTCTACTCCAGGATGCAAGAATGGTAGGATACAAATGTAAGAAAATACAGGGATAATTTTAAGGAGCAGGGGAGTAATGTCCCAGACATCCACAAAGCGTGTTCTCACTAATAGAGAGCACGTGTTGCGGTGGGGTCTAGCAGGCCACCTCACTGTTGCTGGGCTGATCTGTTTGGATGGCCACAGGCTATGATTGGGTGCGTGTGTTTCTGGGGAGATTTTGATGTTGCCAATTTGTGGGTTGGGCTAAAAGGTTTTAAATACTGGGCACGCTCTGTTGAGCGTCCTCTTTTGCTGCGTGCATTGGATCACCCACCCTCCCTCCGTGAAATGGGGATTTTGCACTTGACCTTGCTATGCCTGTCATGGGGTTGCCTGCTTTTGAGGCAGGGGCCTGGTAGGAATTTTGTCCATTTGGCTGATTGGCTGGAGCCATTTGGTTTTTGCCTACTGCGTAGCAAATTGTCACAACATGTAAGGTTTGCGGTTAGGCATTGGTTAAAAAATTGGTTGATGGAGGGGTAAGTGCCTACCCCTCCACATGCTGGTGCTGCAAGGGAATTCCGTTAAAGGAATCTGGGGGCTTGCCATGCTTTCGTCCAAGTCCCTGGCATCAGGCTTGGGCCGTGCAAGCCTATGGGAGAGGTGAGGGTCTGATGCCCAGCTTCATTCTCCCCAATATTGTTTTCCCTGACTGATTTTCGCTGGAATCCGGAAGTCAGTTCTGTCCCTGGGCGAAGGGACAGATAGTCGGAACCAATGCCTAAGCAACCACTCACAGTTATGTATTTAAATAAAGTTGTGGCCAAAAACCTTAAACAAAAATTACGTGTGATGTGTGAGTTATTGGGGTGGCTTAGGGACCTCAACACACAACATTCCTCCCAGATTTCATCCGTCCTTAGCATGTCATTGTTGTTCACGTGCAGATGTTTTCTGCGGCGACCCAGACACCTCCAACAACTCTCAACCCATGTTTAAAACATTAGCAGGTTTACGATGTTGCTGATCTGCTTGTTGGAGAAGGGAGCCGCTAGCATGAAAAGCAGAACAACAAGTGTTCAACTGCAAAAGAGTGTTGGACTTTGTAACACGTGTGGAAAAAGGTTCTCTGCATCTCAGCGGCTTTTCTGATTTGTGGAAAAGTTGCGCTGTAAAGGAAGTCTAGGAGCTGACATGCTGGAGAGTGAGGGCGAGCTGGTTTCTTATTATTAAGGACCTATATGGGGAACTGGCCAAATTTAAACCTGCGGAAACCACACAGGAGCAGCTCAAGAAAATGAAAGAAACACTCATAAACCACAAGACACGGCATACAGGGGCTACAGCTTAACCGCTCAGACCTCCTTCTTGCTGTTTATAACCTCATCTCATGTTTGCTAGAAGGATTGCAACCCACAATTCAAAACCAGACTATCTATCTAAGGACTTTTTACTTTGTTAAAACCTCTTTCGTCTTCCATCCACATGCATAGGAACAAGTCAGGAACCCCATCTCAAGTTTGACCCCTCAATAAGGTAAAGGGACCCCTGACTGTTAGGTCCAGTCACGAACGACTCTGGGGTTGCGGCGCTCATCTCGCTTTACTGGCCGAGGGAGCCGGCGTACAGCTTCCTGGTCATGTGGCCAGCATGACTAAGCCGCTTCTGGCGAACCAGAGCAGTGCACGGAAACGCTGTTTACCTTCCCTCCAGAGCGGTACCTATTTATCTACTTGCACTTTGACGTGCTTTCGAACTGCTAGGTTGGAAGGAACTGGGACCGAGCAATGGGAGCTCACCCCGTCGCGGGGATTTGAACCGCCGACCTTCTGATCGGCAAGCTCTAGGCTCTATGGTTTAGACCACAGAGCCAGCTGCGTCCCTGACCCCTCTATAGTGAGTAGCAAAACAAACATGGCATTCCGACATCATCACACTGTGTGTTTTGCTGCCCGCCACTCAATTGTGGCAGTCAACAATGGGGAACAGGTGGGGCAGGGGAAACACACAAGCTACCAACCTTAAAATGAGCATGAGCCCTAATTTCCCACTTACTTGGTGGCACTCCCAACATCGTTTACAATAATCCTAAACAAAAACAGTGAGCGAGCAAGACAGAGAAATGGGGAGCCTGTTGCCTTCGAGATGTTTTGGACCACAACTCCCATCAGCCACAGCCAGCGCGGCCAGTGGTCATGGATAATGGGATTTGTAGTCCAATGTCATTCCTGACTGGGGTTGATGGAGTAATACGACATATGGAACGTCACAAGTTCCTCACCACTGGTTTACAGTCTATACTGGCCCTATAGTAAACAAGCAGGCAGTTGATAGAAAACACTTTTCTTCTGTAATGACCACTGTGAGTGGAGTGTAAGGATGGTGAACATCCAGATGTTGTTGGATTCCAAGTCCCATCAGGCCCAGCCAGCATGGTCAATGGTCATAGATGATGGGAGTTGTAGTCTAACAATATCTGGAGGGCCGCAGGTTCCCCATCCCTAGCTGAAAATGGGTTTTCTGTGAACGTTTGTTTTCTCCTGAAGTAATGGCTTGTAACTGCAGGGAAACCGAAAGGACTAGACTGGGAAGTCAGACCACCAGCATCATGTGGAAAGGAACAGAAGTGAACAGAACGAGGCAATATTGCTGCGGTGGCTGACTAGAAAGCCGCAAAATGTACACAGAAAAGCGGGGTTGCTACGCTCTGGATGCACATGCCTTGCAGACTTGCCACGCCTGTTTAGCCCCCTTCAAGGCCAAGACCATAGTAGCTGGTGGTGCTGGTTTGCTGTGGTATCCCATTGCGCACAGCACTGACAAGCTTGTGCCCATGCCGTCACAACCCCCTCTTTGCCCTCATCCATCAGAGCGGTTTATCAGCCTTTTAAACTCAATTCAAACAAATCAAGGACACTGGTGGTCTCTTGACTACTTCTAAGCGTCAGATTGCTCTACAGCAGCGGTTCTCAACCTGTGGGTCCCCAGATGCTGTTGGACTACAACTCCCATCATCCCTGAGCTCTGGCCTTGCTAGCTAGGGGTGATGGGAGTTGTAGTTCAACAACATCTGGGGACCCACAAGCTGAGAAAGGCTGCTCTACAGCGAGGGAGAAACCACAGTGAAATTCCCTTTTGATATACATTTGAATGTGCTGCAAATGGGTATTAAGCTAGTGAAATCCTAATAGCGAACTTATTCTTCAAGTGTGGTTCATTATGTAGTCAAAGCTGCCTTCCCACCACACAAAGGAGCTTCCAGCAGGTCCAAGGGGAAACTTAGCAGAAAAACAAAACAACTTTAGATTGGGGGGGGGAAGGGGGAGCTTGGAACCTAAAGGGCTTTGAAGACTGAGCATGCTCAGTGGTCGTAGAACTCTGGCTGGTTATTGAGAACATGGACAGAAACCAGAGAGGGGGATGGAATGGAGTGTATTGGAAAAGGGTCTGGCTGGCTGGCTGGCACTCTGAACAGGAATGCTCCACACTGCCATGTTTTTGTAGGTCTCCACTGTAAAGAGTCATCGCTTGTTATGAGAAAACATTTTGTTGGTGAGGCTTTTCCTTCTCCACTGCCTTTAAAAACAGAAAACGGCATCCGAGCACCGCGGAAGAGTTTCTCACCGTGTGGCGTTTTCCAAAGCCCTCGAAAATGAGGCGTACTCGGTGGAGGAGTGCGTCAGGGAATAAAACCAGGTGGCTGCGTCCAGAACGGCAGGATCGGCGTCTTCTCCGCCCAGGGAATTTTGGAGAGCCTGATAAAAGGCTACCTTGCTGTTGACGCGACCTTGGCTTACTTCGAATCGCTAAGAGAGAAGGAAAATGGGATTCTGAAGAACTCAGGAGCACAGCTTATACATTAAAAAAACAAACCCAAACAGGCCGGCTGCTTCCTTCCTTCCTTCCTTCCTTCCTTCCTTCCTTCCTTCCTTCCTTCCTTCCTTCCTTCCTTCCCTGAAGTTTAATCATGCAAGGAAACACCTTAGTTTGCACATGTATGAATCTCTCTGCCGATATTCAGTGTCTGCGTGACTTTTCAGAGAATACGCTGCTTGGTTTTGCTATTTCAGTCGAGAGAAAACCGCCCTCTTAAAATAAGCAGGTGGTATTCAGTGCTGGGACGCGGGTGGCACTGTGGGTTAAACCACAGAGCCTAGGACTTGCCGATCAGAAGGTCGGCGGTTTGAATCCCCATGCTGGGGTGAGCTCCTGTTGCTCGGTCCCTGCTCCTGCCAACCTAGCAGTTCGAAAGCACCCCAGTGCAAGTAGATAAATAGGTACCGCTCTGGCGGGAAGGTAAACGGTGTTTAGTCATGCTGACCACATGACCCGGAAGCTGTACGCCAGCTCCTTCGGCTATTAAAGCGAGATGAGCGCTGCAACTCGAGTCGGCCATGACTGGACCTAATGGTCAGGGGTCCCTTTACCTATTCAGTGCTAGCCTTGCTCTGAACAGATCCGTTGGTTAATTGACATGGCTAACTCGGGTTCGTTAATATCAATGGGTCTACTCTGAGTAGGGCATTGTGGAACACAACCCAATGGCTCAGATTCAACTAACCTGGCATGCTAGGGGAAGCTAGGGCAAGAGCAATGGGGTTTTTCACCCTTCTCCTGCCCCCCAGGGGGGGCCCTGTACCCCCCCCCCAAAATATGCTCTGAAGGGTCAGGCGAACTTCCCAAACAGCACACAGGGGGAGGAGAGGAGGGTTCGTTCCATCCAGCAAGCAGAAACGCTTGTGGAGCCAGAACGATCGAAAGACCGTGGCATTGAATTCCCCGCAATGTCTATAAATTGTCACCTAAACTGAGATATGTGCTCAGTTCATGCTTAACAAGAAACCACAATTTCCTGCTTATGTGGACAGGTCACACTGCTGACACAGGCAAATAAAAAAGTCATTTTTAACAGCCAGTGGAAAGCACGCTGCTGTAAGCTCCTGCCGTAACTCAGAGGAAAGATCGCTCCACAGGCCAGGCACCACCACCGAGAAGGCCCTCTTCCAAAATGCCGTAAGATCCATCTCTGCAGATGGCACTGCCACTAACAGGGCCTCGTCCAAAAATCATAGTGAACGGGCAGCTCTGTACAGGAAGGCCGGAGGCAGTCTTCCAAGGCATCTGGTCCCAAGTTGTTTGGTAACAAAACCTTAAATAGGACCAATAATTAAATGACCTCTCTCCTCCATGGGGTAGGGTCAAAGAGGTTTGCACGGCGTGCAAGGAACACACAGTTGACCTGGAAACCTGCCTTCCTCTGTTTCTGGGACTTGGCATTCACAGAAGCCTTCACGGAAGATGAAGGTTTGGAATCTCAGAATACAGTGGTACCTCGGGTTAAGAACTTAATTCGTTCTGGAGGTCCGTTCTTAAAACTGTTCTTAACCTGAGGTACCACTTTAGCTAATGGGGCCTCCCACTGCTGCCGCGCCACCGTCACGCGATTTCTGTTCTCATCCTGAAGCAAAGTTCTTAACCCAAGGTACTATTTCTGGGTTAGCAGAGTCTGTAACCTGAAGCGTCTGTAACCTGAAGCATCTGTAACCAGAGGTACCACTGTATCTGTTTCTGTCCTTGTGCAGCACTTTTGTGGAATACATATATAACTCTGTATATTATTATTATTATTATTATTATTATTATTATTATTATTATTATTATTATTACATTCATATTGCACCTTTTTCTCCAAGGAGAAATACATGGAGAGCATACATGGCACTTTTCCTGCTCCCCATGTTATCATCACAACAACCCTGTTAAGCTGAAAGACAGTGGCTGGCCCAAGGTCACCCAGGGAACTTCATGGGCAGGTGGAGACTTGAAGCCTGGCCTCCTGGGTCCTACAGCCTGACACTCTAACCACCACACCACACTGCCTCTCAGGCCTGCCATAGTTGCCTGGAGTACCATCAAGTAGCTGGAGCTTTCTGTGATCCTAATACAGCAGGTTAAATTCTCTAGGAGCTACCTAAAGGGCTATCATTATATTCAAGTGGGGTTCAATCACATACTAGCAAACTCATGTTGGGAAATTCAAGCTGGGTTGGAGCTCTTGCACAACAAACCTGCTTGCCTGAGAATCAGCCCCCCCCCTTTTTTTGCAATAAGGAAAGTGATGGGGGAAAGTGTGAGATAACACCTGCTTCAACACAGCATTGTCTAACTTCTCCGCAAACAAATTGGAACAAATGCTTATTCGTTAACCAGTGTGACCTAATCCCCATGCAAACCAAATGTTATGTACTGAGTTGAATAGGATCCAAAAGGCAGCAGTCTGATTGGTCCTAGAACAATGCAGCAGTATGATTGGTCCGCAGGAGCCACCCAATCCAGCTCCAGGTAGAAGTGAATCCGCAACCTGATTGGCCTACAGGAGAATCCCGGAATTAGCCAATCACATGGGGCCCATTGTGTAAATAATGTATATAAAGCAGATATCTTGGGGAACTTTCATTCCTCACTACTATGAGCTGAATAAAGAGCATGAAATCCACGCTCGACTCCGAGTATATTTCACCAAATCAGGATGAATTTTCAGTAAACAGGTCATCTGGAAGCTCCAGAATTTGCATGAGTCATTCAGAAATCCAGTCAGGAACGATGAAAGATGTCAAGCACCCGCCCCCGTTCTCAACAGAGCCAAGAGTTTTGGGAGGACTCCCACACACACATCTTTTAAGGAATAATATGTCTCTGAAATATAATTTCCTTTACCGTCTGTTTTTAAAGAGTAGATTTCTCCCACCCCCGAACTGGCTATAGAGTCATTTCCTGAAAAGCTGGAAACCTGAGCATCCCCTCTGCTCCATCTTGTTGGCAGGAGACTTGCGACTGGCTCAAGAAACTGCCTGCAATCATCTCTTTCCAAATAGTTCCAGAGAGCAGCGTCGAATAACTCACCATTTTCCTTTCTTATCATTGGCCTGACTCGAAAACAAAACAAAAGTGTCTGTGTGTGTGTCAGTTTGTACACTCAAACGGATGTTTAGGCCTCAAACTCACAAATGGCAGATCCCTCACGGTCAACGTATGTTTGGAATGTAACGATTTACGCTGCTGACAGGATCTCACATGGGGGGGGGGGGGAAATCTCCCACACTAGAGCTGGATGGATCAGTTTCTTATTTTGCCAATCTTATGTTCAGTCTGCCACATCCATGCCTGAATTTGTGATTTATTTATTTTTGAAGGGGGAAAAATCCTCACTAATTTTTTCCAACGTTTTAGAGAGCATTTCACTTAACACACACACACTTTTGCAAGCAATTTCCCCCCAATATAATGCACATTCCCTTAAAAGGCACATTTTCATCCACAGCTTCCCCTTAATTTTTTTTTGGAGGGGGCTGGTGGTTAGAGAACAGCATGCAAAATCCGGAGAAGATTTCAAAAGATATTTTGGTTTGCACCTGGTTTAGAGAAGTGTGAGTTAGGTAAAGGTAAAGGGACCCCTGACCATTAGGTCCAGTCGCTGACGACTCTGCGGTTGCAGCGCTCATCTCGCTTTATTGGCCAAGGGAGCCGGCGTACAGCTTCCGGGTCATGTGGCCAGCACGACTAAGCCGCTTCTGGCGAACCAGAGCAGTGCACAGAAAAGCCGTTTACCTTCCCGCTGGAGCGGTACCTATTTATGTACTTGCACTTTGTGCTTTCGAACTGCTAGGTTGGCAGGAGCTAGGACTGAGCAACAGGAGATCATGGGGATCTGAACCGCCAACCTTCTGATCGGCAAGCCCTAGGCTCTGTGATTTAAACCACAGCACCACCCGCATCCCAAGGTAGGCTTGTGTTAAAATTGATCCCTCATTCCTACTCATGATAGGAAACTAGCTGGTCAGGGAGGAGGTTGGAGTAGAAGCCTTTCCCTGGTATCTAGTTCTCCATGTTTTTTCCTCTGAGAGCGAAGTGGCTATTTTGGGTGCTGAGATCTCGCCCCAAAAAGCTACCTGGTATGGTGCTCCAAAATGCACATTTTGGGGTGCTATGCTCTCATGTGTCTTTTGGGTTCTGTGATCTTATGCGGGTCACGTGACTCACATGGGGGCCCAGCTGGGAAGATGCACATTACAATTTTGGGACTTAACATGTGAGAGGGTATGGTATCAATAGACCTATGCTTTATGGAGGCAGTGAGAGATTTTACTTTCTTGGGCTCCATACTCAATGCAGATGGTGACAGCAGTCATGAAATTAAAATACGCCTGCTTCTTGGGAGGAAAAGCAATGACAAACCTAGGCAGCATCTTAAAAAGCAGAGACATCACCTTGCCAACAAAGGTCCGTATAGTTAAAGCTATGGTTTTCCCAGCAGTGATGTATGGAAGTAAAGAAGGCTGATCGCCGAAGAATTTATGCTTTTGAATTCTGGTGCAGGAGGAGACTCTTGAGAGTCCCATGGACTGCAAGAAGATCAAACGCATCCATTCTTAAGGAAATCAGCCCTGAGTGCTCACTGGAAGGACAGATCCTGAAGCTGAAGCTTCAATACTTTAGCCACCTCATGAGAAGAGAAGACTCCCTGGAAAAGACCCTGATGTTGGGAAAGATGGAGGGCACAAGGAGAAGGGGATGGCAGAGGACGAGATGGTTGGACAGTGTTCTCGAAGCTACCAGCATGAGTTTGACTAAACTGTGGGAGGCAGTGGAAGACAGGAGTACCTGGCATGCTCTGGTCCATGGGGTCACGAAGAGTAGGTCACGACTAAACAACAACAACATGCATGATGCTTTAGAAAGTTGCAACAGGTCAGTTGTCAGTCGGAGATACGAGGGGGAAGGCAAAATGAGAGCTGAACTGGTGTCTGATGCAGCGGCAGGTATAGATATTCTGATTACGAAGTCGGAAGAATATCTAACTCATAGCATGGCTTAAAGGGCCTCATTTCTGGCAGCAAAGGTATGGATATGAAAACAAGGTGGTACAGTCATACCTAAAGCCTAGAAGTTCAAAGCTAGTACTGTTGTGCTGCAATGAACTTGCCAGTGTGTATAAGTTATTCTGTGTTACCTGCTGCATTCACAGTTCCCTGGGGGATGAGAGGAACTGGAAGAAAAAGAGTAGGCTCTGCTCTCTTCCAGTTGCTCTCTTCTCCCAGGGAAGAATCAATAAAGATATTGAAAGGAAAAAAGAACGAGTGGTTGCCTAACTTGTTTTTGACATTTCGGAGCAACCAAGAGGCATTCTTTTCATCTGGTGATGAAAAGGCAGACAGTCGCGTGCAGTAAAACTGGCGATAATTGGCAACAGGTCGGCACAGAGTGCTTCACAGGGGGAAAAGAGAAAGCAGGAGCCATCGGCCAGGATGCTGAGATGAAAAGACCGAGCACAAAAGGAGCGGGCGCTGTTCTTTGTGGGGAAGAAACACTTTCAGGACTGTCTGCCTCCTGAATACTTCGGCACGCTCACAGACGTTTCGCCTCTCGTTATCTTAATTTGAAAAACATGGGCTTCTCTTTCGGCAGCTGGGGAGATGAAGCCCCAGGGACTCTCTGTTACGCTGCCCACATCTCCGAGAGCAAATCTGGGATTACAGTCCCTAGTCAAAGTGGCGTCGTGTGGAATCTGCTTGCCAGGAAGCCTGCAGGGACTGAGGCCCCCGAATGACAAATCTGCAGGCAAATGTGTACAAGAGTCGCCTGATGTCAAAAAGAGTCCCTTTCAGTGGGGTGGGGGGTGGGGGGGTGGAGTGGCAAGAGGCAATTTATTCTGAAGGTCTGTAGACCACTTAATCAAAGACCTCTCTGGCGTAGAAATAAAACTGTAAACGGAACACAGCTTAACCCACAAACCAGCTAAGAACAAATATACACAAAAGCATATCTAAGCAAATATAAGCCATGGTTGTTGAGCAAAACACAGGCCATGAAAGTGGGGCATTTCAGGCACGGGGAGGACAATATTACATTTCTAACCCAGTGAAATATACTTGGAGTCGAGTGTGGATTTCATGCTCTTTATTCAGCTCATAGTGGTGAGGAGGAATGGAAGTTTCCCCAAAATGTCTGCTTTATATACATTATTTACACAATGGGCCCCACGTGATTGGCTAATTCTGGCATTCTCCTGTAGGCCAATCAGGTTGCGGATTCACTTCCACCTGGAGTTGGATTGGGTGGCTCCTGCAGACCAATCAGACTGCTGCATTCTGGATCCTATTGTTCTAGGACCAATCAGGCTGCTGCAATTTGGATCCTATTCAACTCAGTACACAACACCCAGCTTTCCTCCAAGGACATTAAGGTGGCATAGATGGATTTCCCCCCACCTGTAGATCCTTCCAGCAGCTGGCAGCTGCTATTTCAATTTCCTCAAAGCCATCAAGGGTGATGCAGCTGCACCATCAGGTAGCATCACTCCTATGGGAAGAAACCACAGGGACGACACAGACTGGTTTAACACCAGTGCATGGTTCTCTAGCAACAGAGGATGGGCATCCTCTTCCTCCTCTCTTCTCAGTCAGGCTATCTCCATTCTGGCAACTATAGTTTCACTTCCAACCAGGGCTTGTCTTAAGCATATCCCGTGTTGCAAAGATCCCTCTGGTGCCCTGCCCCTTTCCCAGAGTTGTCAACCTTTTTAAGGGCTGAAGGAGGCAGGAAGCGGCTGGAGGGTGGCTCCTCCGGAAGGGAAGAGGCAGAGGCTGGACGCGGCGCCTCCCAGCTCAGCTGGTTGCTTCGTGCCATGGTGGCAACGGCAAGCAGCACACCGAGTGAGCTTGTGCCAAGTGAGCGAGGGCGAGGGCACCGCTCCCGCTGAGCACTGGCTCGTTTCCCCCCCTTTTAGCCTTCTGGCACCCCGCAGAATTCGGTGCCTGCAGGCTAAAAGGGAAAAAACCGAGCCAACACTCGGCAGGAGCGGCACACGCACCCTCGCTCTCTCAGAGTGCTTGTTCGGTGTTCTCTGGACTCCCTCCTGGCACCCTCCAGAACTTGGCGCCCTGGCACCCCGCACCATTAGCCTCTATGGGTAAGACGGGCCTACTTCCAGCACAGCAGCCTACCTACCTTAATTGCCTTTGCTCTGCTGATCAGCCCATCTTGTTGAGCACTTCCGATCAGCAGGTCCACCTCCGAAGGTCGAGAACGTTGCAGAGCTACTGTGAGAGGCTCCTGGAGGTAGACCCCATCAACGACTGGGCTCCAGTACTGGAATGGTCCACTTATAGCCAGGAGCTGTGATATGAGCAGAGAGGCAGTCAGTGTTGGGCAGAGCAGGGAGGAACAACATAAGAACATAGCTGCTGGATCAGGCCAGTGGTCCATCTAGTCCAGCATTCTGCTGTCACAGTGGCCAACCCAACGCCCATGGGAAGCCCACAAGCAGCAACTGAGCACAATAACTGTCTCCCCACTTGTGAATTCCAGGAACTAGCATTCTGTTGGCAGGTCTTCTTAGGTGAATCCCGCCCAATTTATTTTTTAAATGAACTGCAGGCTGATCACCAGAGCAACTTAACGCAGGCATAGGCAAACTCCAGCCCTCCAGATGTTTTGAGACTACAATTCCCATCATCCCTGAACACTGATCCTGTTAGCTAGGGATGATGGGAACTGTAGTTCCAAAACATTTGGAGGACCAGAGTTTGCCTATGCCTGTCTTAACCCATCAATATTCCAGCCATGATGATGATAGAGGAATGGATTGATCTGTTAGCTTTGCTTGAGCACATTAATCATCCCACCCCCAAATCTCTAATTCAGTTCTCCACATTTACACAGCAAACTGTGATTTTAAAAAAAATATTCCCATGAAAATTTGTCAGTGTTTTGGTGTGAATTTGTCCTAATCAACACATCTTTGTAAGCAGTGTTAATCAATATACACTTTTGCGGCACAAACAATTCTCCCTAGCATTCTGTATTTTCATTAATATGTGCATTTCAAGTACATTTCCCACTATTACGCATTTCTGTGCACATTGTTTTGTTGGAGAACCGCATGGCAAAATTTGGCGAACAGCCGTGTTTCAGCTCACAAAGTGTTTTGAGAAGTGCAAATTTGGTAGTTTCTCCTTTAAATGCGATTTATATTGTTACCATTTCTTCCTTCCTGGCAAATATTGATTCCCCAGACTGAAGGGTAATATTTACCCACACAAAATGAAATACCAATCTCTGCTACTGTTATGGGGCAGATCTGACCTCTGCAACCCACACATTTTCAGCTCTGCCAGCAAAACAAGAAAATAGGCACACCCTGGTTTGTGCATCATTGAGGACTTTGGCAGGCAACTGGCGGAGGCAGGATACAGTTTCTTCGCTGCTGGCTGAAGGGCATCCCAGTTCATGAGCCAAAATGGAAGCTTGTGCCCGTGCTTTCTCCTGACTGATGGTTGAAGCAGGAGAAAAAGCAGAACCTCCCTGAAAAGAGAAAACAGATGTCCAAGTCAAGGTGGTTGTGGATTAAGTTCTTCCCTGATGCATCTTAAATCCTGGAAAGCAAAGAATAATTATTTGAAGCAGTAGGGTGGATGAAGCCACTGATGATTGGGGACAAGGAGTGCTGGCCATTATCCAAAGGTCTCTCAGATCTGTGAGATAACCAGCCTCATATAACCAACATGCTCAAGTCTAATTAATGCATGTCGGGGTTAACACCATAGAGTAAGCTGTCCTAAATGGATTAACTCCCCCCTCACCTTGGGAGGAAGGAAATCAAGGATATTGTTCCCCTTCAGTCTACCTGATAAACTCAACATGTTGCTCCAAGCTCAGACCACATGACTCCAACCAGCCTCTCTTGAGTTCCTGTACCAGTAATTGAGGAACTTTCACCACGGTAACTTAGCCAAATTTTACTGCCTGTGTTTTCTGACTGCTGCATGGAAAAGCACATGAACCTGACCTTTGAAGAGTTTGTAAGTAAACCATGTTTAACCTACCAAACGTGCAGTCTTTTTCCTATGCTAAGGGAAGAGGGGAACTTTGTAAGGAACTGAGAAGGGCGCGTTTCAAAGGCCTAACACCCTATATTTCCATACTTTACTTGGTGTTTTTAAAATCGCTGCCGGGTTTCTGTCACCAAAAGTACTTGCCCCAAACTTGGATCTTGGCATGCAGGGAATTCTCCTTTATATACTGTACTTTCCCATGTATAAGATATGGGGTTTTTTTACTTTAAAATAAGGTTAAAAATCTAGGGGCATCTTATACACGGATAGTGCATACGCCCATTTCCTAAATTTGGAGTCCCCAAAAGTAGGGGGCATCTTATACACAGAAAAATACGGTAGCTATTTCTTCCTTGCCACTAACACCTAGCCATGACGGCTATGCTGAGCCTACATAGCTGGAAACAGCAATGCTTCTTAATTCCCCATAGCTCTGGGAGGGGAATAGGGGCCTCCGAGCAACTCTGGAGCCAGTGTGGTGTAGTGGTTAAGAGCAGTGGACTCGTAATCTGGTGAACCAGGTTTGCTTCCCCGCTCCTCCACATGCAGCTGCTGGGTGACCTTGGACTAGTCACACTTCTCTGAAGTCTCTCAGCCCCACTCACCTCACAGAGTGTTTGTTGTGAGGGAGGAAGGGAAAGGAGAATGTTAGCCGCTTTGAGACTCTTTCAGGTAGTGATAAAGCGGGATATCAAATCCAACTCCTCCTCCTCCTCCTCCTCCTCTCAGCACCCTTAACAAACTGCAGCTCTCAGAATTCTTTGGAGAAGCCATGACTGCATATAGTATACTACTGTTTTATATGTATGGCTGAAATGTGGTCTAAGCGAAATCTACTTCCCTCTGCCTCCCCCCACCCGCTCAGGTCCTTATCACTAACATTCAGCTGTATCCTCTCATCAGGAAATTGTCTTGGTGAAATTGTATGAAGCCACATCTCACTGGGAATTGACAGGCCCCTTTATACTCGTTAACGGGGAGTCAAATATGAGGGTTTCCCTTGAGGAAGTAGTCTCAGATTAGGATATCTCTCAACTGCCCCTAGCAGCTGGTTTGCTTCCCTGCCTCCCTGGATAGCTGAATGACTTCTAAGACTGTGTTTCCAAAGTTCTGGTAGTTTGGGGCACATTCCCCCCCCCTGAAAAATGGATCTGGGAACTATCAACTTGGTGTAAGCATGACTCACAGCAGCTTACAACATTTCGAAATTAAAATTTTATAAAATAGCAATACAGTGGTACCTTGGATTAAGAACTTAATTCGTTCTGGAGGTCTATTCTTAACCTGAAACTGTTCTTAACCTGAGGTACCATTTTAGCTAATTCCTGTTCTCATCCAGAAGCAAAGTTCTTAACCCGAGGTACTATTACTGGGTTAGTGGAATCTGTAACCTGAAGCATCTGTAACCTGAAGCATCTGTAACCCGAGGTATCACTGTATAAGAACAATCCACCAACACGATAGGGTTAAAACCAGTTAAAAGAGTTAAAGCCAAAACATAAAAAAAGAATTATCTGGAATAAAATGGTTGTTAACAACCAGAGATAGACGACATACTGTATTTTTTAATATTTTGTTGGAAGCCACCCAGAGTGGCTGGGGAAACCCAACCAGATGGGCGGGATATAAATAAATTATTATTATTATTATTATTATTATTATTATTATTATTATTATTAACTTGCTAGCACAAGTTAGGAAGGATATTAATAAACAATATATCCTCTCCTGCCACCCTGAACATTCCCACAAAACTTACAGAATAGAACCAGAACCTTCTGCTTCTGCTTGTGGTATGCCTCTACATCACCTGTGGCTCTTAATCTGATGCTATTTCTGAATTTACCATCTCACTGGTTCTTGGTCTATGATTTTCGAATCCCTTAGAACCCACTTTCAGCTACACACTGGATCCCTCGTGCCTGTTTTCCCCACGTTTGTCGGCTATGAATGGCAGAGAGATGCTTTTACACTTAAGACTGTTGATATTTAGCTCCTTACAAAGAGACGTTAACTTGATGTGAAGAAGACAATTGCAGACAGCAAGCAGATAACATCTGATCTATAATACTAAAGCAGATTTAGTAAAAAGGAACAAAAAAGTGGTTTCACAAATGACTCATCCTAAGTTTGGAACATTGGTTAACACTCTGAGTTGTCGAAACTTCACACACACACACACACACACACACACACACACTACACACAAATAGCAAGACATGAAAAAGTCATGTTTGGGATATGGTTGACTTTGCCTGGAAAGTACTGCATTGATGACTCTGCAAAGAATATATATAACTGCACATAAATTAAGCACGCAGCCATTCATTCTGAGGCACGTAGCAACTATTTCAAATAAAACTTATGTATAACACTGTGGTGCCTTCTGGTTAGATCCCTGTCTTTCAGCATAGGAAACTCAAGAAAACAACACCCACCAAGTTGATTCTCGCATTACTTTGACCTAGCAAGAAGATTAATCACTGTATCAGAAAAAGAACACAAAGTGTCATGTATGAGGGTGAGCAGTCTGCGATACGTGTGGATTTTCCCAGATGTTACTGGGATTTCGAAGGTGGAATTTCCGAAAGGTGGCACATTGTCCTTAGACAAGTCAATTGGTGTTTTTGTAAAAAAACAAACAAACAAACAAACAAAAACCCTAATAGAAAAGTTCAACAAATTGGGGGGTTTCCTTTAAAAAGCTCAAAAATTTGTGGTTTTCCCTAAAAGAAACTCAGCAACTTTTGTGGTGTCCTGCTTTTTAATTTTTGAAATATGGCAACCCTGTAACAAGGTTTTCCCAGTAGTGATGTATGGAAGTGAGAGCTGGACCATAAAGAAGGCTGATCACCAAAGAATTGATGCTTTTGAATTATGGTGTTGGAGGAGACTCTTGAGAGTCCCATGGACTGCAAGAAGATCAAACCTATCATGAGAAGAGAAGACTCCCTGGAAGAGACACTGCCCAGGCAAAGTCACCTTGGTGCTGCTAACATGGCAAAAACAATGAAGGAGGCAACAATTGGGAGTTACTGGTCTCTGCAGCCACAGCTGGCGCTGTGACTCTCCGGCAGTTTGGCTTCGCTCCTGGAGGCGCACTCTTGAGACAGACATGCCAGCAACAAACATCTCCAGCTCAGCTTCCATTCCAGTGGTAAGTGCTGATGAAGAAGAGAAGAAGAAGAAAAGTTTGGATTTGATATCCCGCTTTAGGTAAAGGTACCCCTGCCCGTACGGGCCAGTCTTGACAGACTCTAGGGTTGTGCGCCCATCTCACTCAAGAGGCCGGGGGCCAGAGCTGTCCGGAGACACTTCTGGGTCACGTGGCCAGCGTGACAAAGCTGCATCTGGCGAGCCAGCGCAGCACACGGAAACGTCGTTTACCTTCCCGCCAGTAAGCGGTCCCTATTTATCTACTTGCACCTGAGGGTGCTTTCGAACTGCTAGGTTGGCAGGCGCTGGGACCGAGCAACGGGAGCACACCCCGCCGTGGGGATTCGAACCGCCGACCTTTCGATCGGCAAGCCCTAGGCGCTGAGGCTTTTACCCACAGCGCCACCCGTGTCCCTATATCCCGCTTTATCACTACCCGAAGGAGTCTCAAACGGCTCACATTCTCCTTTCCCTTCCTCCCCCACAACAAACACTCTGTGAGGTGGGCGAGGCTGAGAGACTTCAGAGAAGTGTGACTGGCCCAAGGTCACCCAGCAGCTGCACGTGGAGGAGCGGGGAATCGAACCCGGTTCACCAGATTACAAGTCCACTGCTCTTAACCACTACACCACACTGGCAACAAACTGATGACAGACAAGAACCCATTGATACGGTCTGTCCGCTAGGCCTAGACTACTGCCATGTGAATTCCTGCCTGTTGTCCCCGTCCTAAGATGTCTGTGCACCCAAAACATCTGGGGTGTGTACACATGTGCATGTTGGGGCATGGGGTTGGAAGGATAGAGGGAAATTATCTTTGTGCTTTCCTATCAGCTGCTACTTTCTCTTTAAGGAGGCCTGATGTTCTCCTTCCTCTCTGTTACATTAGAAGTTTGGGGTGTATGGAGATTTTATAAGATGGTGCCAGCTATGGGTGATGGATTCATTGTATTCTGTCCCAGTCTTCATCCAGGTGGTTCCCTCCAGATGTTTTGAACCACAACTCCCTTCAGTGCAGCCAAAACATCTGCAGGGTACCACTTTGGCGAGGGCTGCAGTAAGGAGCTGGTGTAAGAAACTTTCCTCCCCGCCCTAGCCCCAGGGAGCAAGTCTGCGTGTTTCTATAAATAAGGCAACTCATTTCCTTTTCTTCTGATTATGTCTGTCATAGGTTTCTGTTATGTACTAAGCTTGGAACCTAGAACAATAGGCAAGTAGGATCCTAGAATGCAACAACTGATTGGCTTCAGGAAAAGACCAATCAGGCTCCAGGAGGGAAGCAGAATCAGCCAATCAGACGGGACTCATTGTGTA